CGAATAGTTAGGCTCTTACCTCATCGAATGCAAGGACGCAGCTGGACGATCTGTACTTCGCAGATGACTCGGCTTTTCTACCGCACACGCAACAACAAATGCAGGAGAAGACGACCAGTGTAGCTGCGGCCTCTTCAGCAGTAGGTCTCAACATACTTAAAGGAAAAAGCAAGATTATCCAATACAACACAACACGAGGAAACTAAAACACATGCCTCGGAGGACGTTAACACCTTTACATATCTAGGCAGCATCAGTGACAACCAAGGTGGATCCGATGCAGATGTGAGGGCGTGGATTGGCAAAGCAAGGGCTGCATTTCTACAGTTGAATAATATCTGAAACTCCAAACAACTTTCAACCAAAACCAAAATCAGGATTTTCAATACAAATGTGAAGACAATTCTACTGTATGGAGCGGAAACTTGCAGAACTACCAAAACCATCAGCCAGAAGATACAAGTATTCAATAGCAGTTGTCTACGCAAAATACTTCAGATTCGTTGGCCAGACACGATCAGCAACAACGTACTGTGTGAGAGAACAAACCAGATTCCAGTGGAGGAGGAAATCAGGAAGAAGCGGTGGAAGTGGACAGGACACACTACGAAAAGCACCCGAGTTTGGAAAACTACAGTTCGAAAACACCTATATCAATTTACCACTCTATCAGCTGTGTCATCTGGAAAGTCGCGTGTAGGATCTAACACAAACAGTAGACAGTGCTGGACAAACTCAATATAAAACGATGCCATCGTGAACTGTCTCGTCTCTAAATATGACAGATTTGGGACTGCGTGTATAAAGTGTCTGATAGGCTGTGTACTATTAAACTATGTGGTCCAGGGTTGTTGTTTAGGTCTTATAGGAATGACGTTAGTCTTGAACCTGTTGAATCATTGATATATTTTATTCAGGAGCAGACAGAAAAGATCGATAGGGTCTTTTCCGAATTGTGTGTATCCTTAACACGATTGCGACTATGTAATGTGGTTATCGACCACAAATCAGTTGTTAGTTACTACGTAGAGGAAAGTAGGAAATGTGATACCAACATGAAATCAAAAAGTAAACAACTCTGAACTCATCATCCTATTCATTTTTCTCCATATTGTGTATATTCAGCTTAATTGTCAAAGATAGCCTACAGTCTATTGTTACTTTCGAAGTTACGAACACTTCGGCGTTTAAAACGAGTGAGTGTAGAAAAACCTCCACGAAAAACTCTCGGTAGACTTTTAATTATCTTAAAGAATTGAAAGATGTAAATATCATCTGTTCCCGAATGATGAATTAGGGAGATCTGACAGGATTAAGGATCTTACGTACAAAATTATGTGTAGCGGTTGGATGCTATTTGTTCTTTCGCATTTCATGAGTTGCATTTTTAGTACATTCAACCATTCTGAGGGCAGTATAGTTCTTCATAAAAAGGAACGGTAAAAGACATTCGTGTTTTAAAGATATCGGGTGTGCATTGAGGGTTAAAGAAATCAACTGGCTTATACTAGCTCGTGAAAAAGATATTGTATCACAGTTTCTGATTCTTCACATGATGAATAATGATGACAATGAATGTATATTTATGTCTGGATAAGCCTTCAAGTGCGTTTAGAGACCGAAGGCCTTCAACTGAAAGCTTAATCTGATATTACCACAACAATGTGAAGGCATTCCAAACATAGTGTTGTTTTTCGTGTCAGTGCTAGTCAACGCGGGTAGTTTGTCGGTCCACGTTTTTTGGCGCGGTCAGATCTTAGGAATAATGGTGAAGTACTCGTGGGAACCTAAAGATGAAGATGAAGGTAAAACATGCAAAGCACGCATCCCATATCTACGGACTCATTTCAAAAACATGCACGAATGTGCTTGTGCGGTAAAGGTATACGAACACCATATTAACTAATCAATATTTAAAGGGGATGACTCTCCAGCGAGCCCAGACTTACTTAAAAAATGTCATCGAAAAGAAGGAAATCATTCCTTTCCGCCGATTTAACGGCGGCGTCGGTCGTCATGCTCAAGCCAAAGTCTGGAAGACCACTCAGGGTAGATGGCCCAAAAAGTCTGCCCAAATGTTGCTTCAGCTTCTGCATAATGCTTTCAGCAATGGTGTATACAAGGATATTAAAGGCGGAGAAGCTAGCCGTTTGTATATAAAACACATTCAGGTAACATAACTAGTTTCTCATAACTTGGCTAGGTTAACCAAGCTCCTAAAATGCGACGCCGTACTTACCGTGCTCATGGTCGAATTAATCCTTACATGTGTTCACCATGCCATGTAGAGGTCATACTTGCCACAAAAGATGATATTGTTCCTAAAGTCCCTGCAGCTGCCCCACAGCTATTAAAGAAGAAGGAGTCCAAGAAGAAGATGAAGAGACAACTGATGAAAGAAAATGCTGGTTTCTAATTTTCTTAATATACATGACTGGATAATTCAACATTTTCTGGTTTTCTTAATTCATGAGGTAATTTGCATTAAGGCGAACTACGAATTTTACTCGTACCTAATAAGTCTTTACATCAACCTTGTCATGGTACTATTCTCTCCCATACTTTCTATCTTGTTAACGAAACTACGTTATTATGTAGATTGGAAGTAGTGTTACTAATGCAGTCATATGATACTATCCCTATCAAGTATCAATACCAGTTCTCAATTGCAAAATCCAGGTTGATATGCTTAGCTACATACCTAGTTGTGTACTGACAGCTAGTTGATTGTTTGGATGTTTTGAGTATGTAGTCAAGTCTTGCCATGCATCATTAGCACGCAGGTCTCTAATACTTGACGTGGTTTCCATTCTGCATTTTACTAATGTATATTGTTAGTCTTGCTCTGTTACGGTTGCACGAAAGCACTGTCCCACTCGTTCAACATTTGATAGCTATTTATTTAGTCGACATTATGTTGTCTTCCAGCTGTCATTGGCGATTGCAGAATTTTGCGCAAATTGACGTTTATGTTTCTTAAGTTAGATAAGGTTCATTTTCCTTTAAGTCATCGTAAATCTCTACTGCATAAGATAACGTAATAGTGTTGATCAAGGCTTCTTCTATTCAAAAATGTATCAAGAGTCGACAGTATCGTATTTCATGTCTTTTTCCGGTATAACATTTAACACACCACTAATTAGTTTCTGATGTTGTGTGTCACAAGTCTGTTCGTGTTGAGTATGGTCACGAAGTAGCTTTTCTCGGTGCCGGTTTTCTCAATTTTTTGTTTTTATCGGGTTAGATTATCGTGTTCGCCAGGATAAGCTTTCAATGGTTGATCTAATCAGATAGTCATAGAAATTGGTTATTGGATACTTTTGAATTTTAGTTACCAATCGGCAATGAACTCTACATAATAATAAAGATGAATGATGTAAAAACAAGTTAGCTGTGTTAGATGCTATGGTTTAATTCTATTTATCTGTACCGTCAGCTAAGAAGTCTATGATCACTACCGAAAATGATAAGCATTGCTAATTGAGTTTATCATGTACAAATCCTATATTGTGTATTGCTGTGTATATAATGATTTATGAAATTAGTTAAGAATCGGCGTTCGTCCATATCTTTGAAGTGGTCCCTTTCCAATTGGTTGCTGAGCAAATCACTAAAACTATCTCAAAACAAAAGTTGCTTTCACTTTTCTTATTATAGTGGAGTTCTATGTATTAGCGTACCTACTTTACTTGTGTATCGCTAGCTAGTTAGTAACTTCGCATGTTGCTGTGTTCGGCCAAGTGCTCACTAGACTCATTTGGAATGGGATAGAGTCTTTAGTTGTAATTCAGAAATAAATTACCCTGAATTCTCGTCCTCTTATAAACGAATTGCTTTTATATTTATATGTGCATTTACTAGTGTTTTGAAATGAACAAATAGAGATGTGGCTCCACCACAATCTAAATAGTCTCAAGTTGACCTCGCGTGCTGTTACGAGTATGAAAGTGTGTGTCACTTCCCTGCTGTCCACACTGTGGAAGGCTGTTTCATAAGGAGTCTGAAAAGGAAGTTGGTCTTGCGACCTGGAAGTGTGACCGTAGAGCTCATGGAACAACGGCTTGAGGCCGGCCACGCACGGTCTTTTTATGGTAAAGTTATTAAAGGCTTGTCACCAGAGACGGAAATTCGTGGGGTGAGGTGTGACATTTTTAGGGTCTACCTTTTCCGACCCCTCCCTTGTCAGAAGGCAGCATTACTGCAGATGCTGGTTGTGTGAAGGAAACACCATACTACTGTTATATCCCTATACAGTCAGCAGTACGACTTTGACCTCAGACCTTAAGTTGCTGCTTTTAGTCTTACCGTCCTCCAATCGACCTGCCTGGCATTGTAGGACATAAAGGAACGTATATCCCTAGCCAATATAGCTCAGTTGAGTCATCATGACAGGCAAGCTCGACCATTATGTCTAGGTAGCAGTTACAGTCGGTAAGTAATGTCAAACAAAGCCGAGAAATTTTAATCGAACACAACACTAGTGGGTTTTGCGTACTTTGATGTAATATGGTTGTTTCTTATTCAATCTTGATGAATATAACCGGTATATCGTAGAAGCCAATTATCTCTTTTGTGTGTAGGAATAAAGTTACGGTGATAGGAGAAAAAGATGATTCAATAGCAGATTGAAATACGAAAAGTTAATGCATATTGAATACAAAGGTTTTTTATCCATCGTAGGAGTAAAATGATATGTGTGCTATGGGTTTTGAATGATATAATCTACTGTATGACTAACTTCAGGTTGTAATAACGAATAGTGGCTTGATATCTTAATGTTATTAGTATTCCATATTTCTGGATTAAATAAGCTGACAGTCTGGTTAATACTCTCCATCAAACCCTAAGTCTATCTTACAAACATTTATTGTGAGGCTTTTTGGTCTAAGGCTATGGTGTTGTGTCCACCGATCTTCTACTGCCATCGGTATAGGCCTTTGATTTAAAAACTATAGTAAGTCTGGTTACGGATGTTGAGACTTGTCGAAAATTCGACGATCATTCTAAGCTTTTGACTAGCTTCTCAAATGATGTTCGATTACAACTGATTATATGGCATGGAGAATGGTTATTAATCTGTTAAAAATATTCCTCGTTAAGTTAATTACTAAATCATTTCAAAAAAAACTACTTGTATCTTAGTACAGTTTAAAGTTTGTTTTTTGAGTCAGTCATTGATCGCAACGAAATTTCATCAGACAATGGTCAACATAAATTACTCAACTTATGTTTCTAGAAATACCTTCTCGTCAATATTCTTTGAGTTGAATCGACCTATTTTCGGATCCTAATCGTACTGTTTATTAGCACTCATTTTTTGGATAAAACTGGCAAGATGGTACTTCATTGGAACGTAGACCGACTACTCAGGAAAGAAAGATTACTTGTATTTCATTATGATTTACTTGGTGCTGTATCAGAAGTCATCCTTTACTTTAAGACCCTGTTATAATTCACTCATGGTCTATTTACTATTCATGAACAAATGCTAAGTAAGAAATCCAGTTGAGAATTGAAGCTTTGCGTCAATCAGCTAGTCCAACACTGGTACCATAAAGGTTACGTTCTGATTCCGAATAAACCTCCAATTAGTTCCCCTGAACTTTATTGTTTTATCAATAGACGTTAAATATATTTTCGCTCTGGTAAAGATGTGTGTGGTTCTGGAGGATACAAAGGCATCAAAAACAATTATTTTAAGTAGTCCTATCTGAGCTTTATTGAGTAATCATTCATGAACAATACAAGACAGTAGGAATATTTATTTACTAAAGCTTTTATACCTCATATTCACATAGCGATGGTGAAAATTAACAAGGATGGAGATAATACTCGTAGACTAATCGAAATCTCGCCTGCCGCATACTTGCTTTAAATTGGTAAAATCCTAATGATTTTTCTGTAATTGTGGCGAAATTTTCTCAGCTATCAGTTAACACAGTAAACGATAAAACCGTAAAACCTTATATTGGTAGACATCTTAAAACAGACAACTATTAACTGATTAGAACTTATTAAGGATAGGTCAGTGATTAACAGATTCTCCTTCACGAAAACTTGGTGACAAATTACGCATTGTTCTACTTTCACCTATAGTCTTAATATGAATACAGGGAGGAATTAGACCTAACAGATCTCAGTTATAGAATTAGTAGCATACAGGACTGATTTCCTCAAATCGCCTATTCCATTTGACCTTATTTATTCTTCTGTCAGTCTTGTATATAAGCGTATCATTTTATCAGAAGTAAGCTTATTTCCTCGAGAAGCTGTTAGTTGGGGGTGCAGGTCAATTATATCTGGTAGTTGTTAATTGGAAACACCGTTTGTCGTAGGTAAGATATATCAGTAGTCTTTTGGAAACTGCTACTCCCTGTTAGATAATTACACGGGTTCATAATTTGAAGCCTCGCTAATTAACTGTTCAGATCGCTCCTTGAATCTTACAAGAAGCATCAGTCCCTTTAAGATCACAGGTAAGCCTTGTTGATTAATGTCAGCTGCTACGAAACTCAGGTCCATGGTTTCCAGGTGATTGCATACGCTCATCGAACAGAAGACATTCGATAATAAGGATGTGCAAAGATTACTTCATTCTATAAAGTTGAATTTTGAATTTCTTTTGGCATGCCCTGGAAAAGGAAATTTTTTATGTCAATCTCTGCGTGGGAGCTTAATGATCAACGTTTATTTTCGTATGAGTCACAAATTTTCCTATTACTAGGATAAAATGGCATTTTAGTCTTTAATTGTTGTAACCTGTTGATGAAAACACCTTGAGAATTTATTGTGAATCAGCCTTATCCTGTTTAATTAATTTTATTCAATCATATTCACATACAGTTACTGAATATTAACAACATAGAACCTGCCATTTGTATGCATCATTTCATGCTATCACAACTAACGAAAACTATTAGAGTAGTAGTGAGAAGACTGAGGCAGGCGAGGAAGATTGCATTATGCTAATTTACACTCTGAGTCAGTTAAAAACGAAAACATTACATTGAATACTCTAGTTGCACACCATCTTTGATTCGTGACTTCCAACACTCCATCCTTCTTCCATTCCTGTTGTTGCTTCCTTTCCTTCCTGTTGGTACTCCATTTACTTCTTGCTTTTGCTCCATTTGCTTTCCGTTTTCCTCTTCCGACCGTGAGACTCCTTCTTTCACGTCCCTTATACTACTTATATCGTTCGTATAAGTAGCACACACCACAGTAGCAGTTGTAACGATAACGGTAATAGTAGAAAACATTATACATAAAAAAAGAGCTTGTTGTGAGCCAATCCAGATACCAGATTGACTATGCTCACCACTAAATGTTCCATAATATCCCGTCATGAATAAAAGCAAAATAAATCCATATTCCAAGGTTTTATCGAAGGAGAACGTTGGCATTACATGGGGAGCAGCAAATAAAGAAAAATGGCAGCAACGCGAAG